TTAAAGTATCAATAATCTGAAGATATATTAACTTTGAAAGTGAACGTGTGTGTGTACATGTGTGGTGAGTCTATTTTTATCAAACTGACCTAAGCGAGGACAACATTATTTTCCAGCCTGTGATCTCATTTTTTTTTTTCAATGGAGGTACTGGGGATTGACCCCAGGCCTTGTGCGTGCTCAGCATGCATTCTACCACTGAGCTACACCCTCCCCCACTGTGATCTCAAATATAATTGAATGGTAATACATTATGGTTGAATGAATGAATATTTATCTGTATTTGTTGTGCTTTGTATTGTCATTGGCTTCACTATGTTTCTCTAAAATGTTCCTTTCAGCTTTTCCCTGCTTTAAAGTGGGGTTGTTTTGAACAATGTGCACTAATCACAAAGTCAGGGAAGAAAGACACGTTTCTCCAGGTGTGGTCTGGCCATCTTCCTTGTTGGAACTGTGGTGGGGAAGGTGGCAAATGACACTTCTTTTCCCCTCCAGAGTTCAGAACCTAGGAGTCAGGCAGTCCTGAGTCAGTGAGGTCCTAAAGCATCCGAAAGAATTGGAGGATGTGCTTTAGATGTGCAGCCACAGTGGGGTCTGAATCCTTCATCCCAACAAGGTGCTTCAGGCAGGCTGAGGGTAGGAAGCAGGTGCCTGACCCCCACCCAGGGCTCTGCCAACTGCAGACCCCAGTTCACCAGGCTGTGGGCAGACACAGCTTTCCAAGGAGGAGATTCAGAACCAAGGAGGCACTTCTTAGTCCCTTCTCCCAGATTCAGCGGTTGGGGGAGGGCAAAGGGAGTGACAGTCCTCACGTGGAAGCTTGAGCCCAAAGAAATGAAGTTCACCTGTAAATTCTGACCAGATTTAAATTGAGATTAAGCTCTTGTCTTTTGTACATACCAACTAATGATGAGAGATTGGATAGAGGTATGCTAGAGGATAAAGAGAAATCTGTTTTGTGTTTTAAATTTTGCTAGAAATAACCCACAAAATAACTTAAATTTGTTTGTTGACTGATTCTGGTAAACTGAGTTTTATTTGGAGGAAACGAATATTCTTTTAAGGAAGAATCTCCTCAATTTCAGCTTTCTTGATTCAACTAAAATTTTTCTCGTTCAGGTTCCCTGTCCTGTGGTTGAAAAATTTTCTGCTTTATAAACTGAGTATATTGACTGCTACTAATAGGAGTCATGATACTAAACTTTGGTCCCTTTATTCTTGTCCATGCCTTTAAAATGTGTATTTTGGTTATAAAGCTACTATTTCATGTCTCATGCCTCAAATATTATTGAGCTACATGACAAAGTTTTATATATTCATTTTCTCTCAGTTATAGTTAAACTATAGTTTATGTGTTTTCCCTTAATACGAGGAAAGTAGCTGGCATAGAACTCTAGACTAAGAAGACCATTGGCTTTGTGACCTCAGGAAAGCTAGTCTCTCTCAGCCTGTTACCTTTTGTGTAAAATTAGAGACTTTGACTAAATCAATGATTTTCATACCTTAAAATTTTTTTTCAAAGAAAGACAATTGAAACATTTTTATTCAAAGAAAAGAACCTTTTCAGAAAACATTTTTCCCCCCATGAAACTGTATTATATAAAACAGAGACAAGTAGAGCTGTTGAGGTAAAGGAACAATGGAGACTCTGAAGCTGTGACTTCTCTGTCCCTCAATCCTGCAGTGTCCCCAGTGGGACCTTCCATTTCTATGGGACATAGTCTGCAAACTGCCAGTTATGAGAGAATCCTCCTAATTACAAATCATTAGAATTAAAACTTGCTGATACATTGTCTTCCTGTGTATAATTTTCTCACCTTTCTATGTTTTTGGTAAATGGAAAAGTTTAAGTAAAACTGCAGATGCATTCTCCTTATTAATGTTGGACTTCAGACTACTTCCACCATCAGGACATAGTCCTCACCTAGAAATAAACATAAAGGTCCGAGAAGTAGCTATTTAGGAAAAGAGCTTTGTGGGAGAAAAGATAGTAATCTTACATTCAACTCATGTAAAAAATGTGATCTACCTTTTGCATAGTGTTTATTAATGGTTATATGAAATTATTTCAGTAAAGGCTTCTCCCTTCATCTGTTAGGAGTTATTCACTTCATAAGACCTGTCTGGTACTGTTGTCATATTATTCATTGTATAAGGCCTCTCTAGAATGCTCTTGTCAGAAAAGTGTTAATGGAAAACAATCCAAAATACTGGGAAATGTTAGCCAAAAATTTTGTCTTTGCATCCCAAGTTTACAGAGGCCTTGACTATCATGTTATTGTTATCACCACAGTGTTTGTTCTGTTAAGTATACTATTTTAGACTCTGTTTGGTGAGAAGATACCTTTTATAAGAAAGATTTTTAGAAGAACACTCTAGATGGGGACACTTGTAGTTTGAAATGTCCCCCACACATTTCATAATGAAGTAGGTAACTGTAATTGGTCAAGTTTCAAAGAGTTGGCCCTAACTTCTAGAATGGAAACAAAGTTATAGGTAAAGAATTATGTATTGTTTTCCTTGTTTCTAACTCTAGAAAGTCGGGAATCAAAAACCAAGTTTGGAAACTGGCGCTAGCCTCTCTTTTTCCTTTCTTCAAGCAGATTTTCTGAAGTAAATGTTTTAGTCATATACAGAGAGCAAAATACATTGTTTAATTTTTTGCCGGTAGAATTTTCACATGACATTACAAGAGACCCACTTTCTTCATTTTATGTATTTAAGATTCTGTGCTGAAAAAATTATTAGCGTAGAACAGACCTTAAAATTTTAGTTTTATAAAAGCAGAATGGACAGCTCATTTTAGGGAAAAATCCATTAAAGTAAAAAAACTTTTGTAAAGGGCACTTTTTCTAAGAATTGCAAAGTAATGCATTCAGTGTAAACATGACTTGGATTGCTTAAACTTTTTTTTTTTACCATTAAGATCAAATATCACTCTCTGAAATTATGTGTATTCAGTAAGCCAATATTTATTGTACTTTTCATCAGATGAATCTAAATAGCATTACATATATATGTTCTCAATGATCTAAAATCAAAATAAGTAGGAATTTATTTTATTTTATTCATGTGATTATTTTTCTATTTAAGCAGTCCCCAAGTTAGGTCTAGTCTCTAAAAGTATTATTTAAAGGCCATATTTCATAAGCTAGCTCTCATTCCTGTGATAATGTCTCTTGCTTAACTTAAACATTATAAATAATATTTGACTTATTTCAGATGCGGGAGGAGTTGGAAAAGAATATAACTAGAGAACTAGAAGAAGGTATGTTGTGAAAATTTATGAATCAAATTTAGACATTGATTTCTGAAATAAACTGTAAATAGTAAGTGGTATCTATTTCCATTGTTTGAATAACAGATACTATGTTAAATTTTTTTCTTATATGTGTCTAATGAAAAATGTGAAAGCATATCCACTCATAATGAAATATATGCTTAATTCCTCATTTCTTCATCATGATCCATAGCTTTAAAAAAGAAGTCTGTGTTCTCTATTCCTGGCTGTACCCTTCCTCTCCTGCTGTCCCTGTGGGCCTGTCACCTGCACACAGACCTGTTCTCAGAAAGCATGGAGGTCATCAGCTTCTCAAGCTACTGGTAGTGACTGAGGCCAAAGACCCCAGACTCAAGCAATCACAGTTCATGTAGCTGTCACCTGGTGGATGACAATTAAATTTCCTGTCATTGACTTTGTCACTGGATAACACTTTGCCCTCAGGAAAAAAATCCAAATTCCTTAGCTTGGGAGAAAAACACCCACATAAGTTTGGCTCCTGCCAAAGTGTTCAGCTCTATCTCTTTATTCCCCTGCTCTGCCCCTCTGCTCCAGCATCTGATCAGACTGCTTCCAGCTCCACAGGCGCCCTTCCTGCCTCTGCTCTTTGTGTTTGCTTCCTGCCTCTCCCTCCCACATTTTCTCCTCCTCCTTCAGGTTTCTGCTTACATATCACGGCCACCAAAAGGGGACAGTATTGACACAAAGCTGAACGTTCCTTCTGAGTGTTCTAATTGTGATCTCTTTTATACCTGTCATGGCATTTATGACTCTGTACGGAAATTGCCTGTTCATCTATTTTTCCAATTTATGGTACATGATTTTCCAGGGTGGACTGTGTCATCTTCATCTTGTGATTCCAGTGCTTGTCACAGTGCCTTAGCACATGGTTGCTGAGTAAATGAATGAAGAATGAGAAAACCAGGAGCTCTGATCCTTAGCCACAAAAGCAGTTAATTCAACTTGCAACCATGGGCAAAGTCTAGAGTAGTAATCTTGTGTTTTGTGTTGTAGTCGTATGTAGATATTTTTCATTCTCCTTAATACTTAGAAAGGTCTCACCTTTTGTTTTAAACTAACTTAATTTCGTTACCTATGAAATATTTTAGATAAAGAATCTAATTCTTTCATTTTCTTTCCAGCTGCTGCTGAATTTGAATCTGGATCCTATGGAGCTCTTCTAGGATCTACGGATGACTCAAATCTAAATCAAGATCTGGTTTTGAAAGCACGTCAAGAATATGTGCAGATTTTGAAGAAAAAGTATATGATCTAAAAAGTAAATACTAAAAATTTATCTGCTGGGCTGTTTGTCTATAACATTTTAGTTATTTCCCATTAAGACATTGACAATGTTTATTAAAGGAAAATATTTTTGTATTATATGTGCATGATTAAATTTATTTAGTATTTTAAACTACATTTCTCTGCATCTCACTAACTTTTAAGCGGATTTTGGGAATAAAACCCAGCACTGTTGAGATTACATACTCAAACTGAGCCCAGATCTCAGCTGTTTAGGCAACACCCAACCACCAAACTTGTCATTAATACTTGAAAAGACTGTGACTTAAGTCAAGTGATAGATTTTAACCCTGGCAGTGTGGCCTTTTAAGACGCCAAACTATTTTGTTACCTTTACAAGGAGGAGCGTATGATGTCCTCCCAGGTTTGTATATGGTTCAAAGACACTTTAAGACTTACGTGTGAGAGGGGCAGCATGGGGCAGCCAGGCTTCTCGCGCACGGGACTGTGGCTGAGTAGGGAGGGCCATGAGCCGATGCATTTTGGAGCCCCGGCCCCCGGGGAAGCGGTGGCTGGTGAGTGGAATTGGGGATGGCGTAGGGGCTCCCCGGTCCTAGCTCCAGTTTTGCCATTGTTTCCTTGGCAAAGTCCCCCCAGTTTCTTGTCTCAGTTTTCTTATCTAGAAATGGGTCTAGTGCTTCAGTGGGCTTCCAAACATCCAGGAACTCCGTTCCTACACTGGGGCGCCCTGCCCTTCCACCCTGCTGGGCCCCAATTTCCATTCGGCCCTCTGGAGTCTCCGAGGTTTCCTGGCCTGCTCTTGGAGCCCCTAACACACTCCAGCCCAGCTTTCCGTTTACTTTCCTCTGCTTTGGGCCCCGGAGGCCGCTGTGAGATAGAGGATGGGTAGAGTTACCGGGCTTCAGTTTCCCCAGTGCCACCTGCAGGTGGTCGGGCTGGGGAACCCTGGAATGCCTGGCACACGGCACAGCATGGGCATGGCAGCGCTGGGGCAGCTGGCGCGGCGGCTGGGTGTGGCAGAGAGTTGGGCGCGTGACCGGCACTGTGCCACCGACCTCACCCTGGCCTCACTCCGTGATGCCCAGCTGGTCCTCCTCTGGCCACGGCGGCTCATGAACATCAACGGGCACAGCGTGGCCCGGGCCGCGGAGCTGTTTGGGCTGACTGCTGAGGAGGTCTGCCTGGTACGTGATGAGCTGGACAAGCCGCTGGGGAAACAGGCTCTGAAGTTGGGAGGAAGCGCCAGGGGCCACAGTGGAGTCCGTTCCTGTATTAGCTGTCTCAACTCCAATGTGAGGCTGCCCCTCTGTCCGGCACTGAGTTGAGTGGGCCAGTACAGGGCCCCCAACATTCCTCATCAAAGCTCCCTGGGCCCCTCTGGCTCCCCAACAGGCAATGGCACGGCTGTGGGTGGGCATCGGGTGCCCGACACACCCAGATGCAGTGCAGGCCCATGTGCTGGGCCGCTTCTCCCCAGCCGAGCAGGAGCTGCTGCCTCCATTGCTGGAGCGCGCTGCTGACCTGCTCCTGGACCACATCTGTGAGAGGAGCCAGGGGCCTTCGCTGGGCCCCTGATGCCAGTGGACCCAGCTGCCTGCCTGCCTGTTGTGCCCACATGCCCAGCCACATCCACAGACGTGCCACGCTGACCTGTGGTATCTGTTTTTATATAACTCTTCTCTGGGCTGCCCCCAGGCCACCTGTGGACTGAAGGGAGCAACTATAGTGGGAATGGTCCATTTCTAGGAGAGGAGGTTGGTCTCTCTGTGTCCTACTTAGAAAGTAGGGAAACTTCAGGAAGACTACACTTTTTGAACCTTTTTGGAGAACCAGAGATGTGAATCTGTAAAATTAAAGGTACCCACTTGGAAGCTGAGGCCTCCTCAGGGCGTTCCCACCACTCCCCTGCCTCCGGAGGAGGGGCCCACAGGGTCCAGCAAGCCCCTCTTCCAGAGGATGTGTGAGCATGTCTTAGCCCACTGAGGTCTTGGAACACCTTTCTTCAGCCCATTTTACAGATGGGAAAATGGAGGCTTAGAGAGGTCCAGCCACATCCCCAAGGCCACACAGCCACAGCATGGTATAGCACCCAGGGTTGCCATCTTGCTGTCCCTGGGGCCCCTGGCACCCTCACCTCAAGGCTACCATGTGCCTATAAGTTTCCCACATGGGTGGTGTGTAAGAGCAGCCTGAGGTCCTCAGGGTTGGGTGGGATGTGGATCCATCCAGGCACCAGGCCCAGGTCCCCAAGCTGGTAGGGTGTGATGCTGGACAGCTGCTGCAGCAGAGACCCGGTCTTGAGTGGCTGGGTCCTGGACCGTCTGCAGAGGGAGGGTGGTGTTATCGCCTCCATTTCACAGATGGAGGAGCTGAGATTCAGAGAGGCTCTGAGGATCCAAATTTCCATCCCAGGCTCAGCTGAGGACAGCCCTTGGACAAGTCCCACAGCTGCTTCCTCTGAAGTCACACAGGGTCACTCAGTCACCAAATTTCCAGCCCAGGCTCAGCTGAGGACAGCCCTTGGACAAGTCCCACAGCTGCTTCCTCTGAAGTCACACAGGGTCACTCAGTCACCTCTCCTTGTGCGGGCCACAGGGCTGGCTCCCCCGATGGGAACACACAGCCATCTGGGGCTCAGAACCATGGCTGAGCTGAGCATCACCAGCAGCTGCTGCAGCATCTCCTTGCGCTGCAGCTGGAACACTACATCAAAGTCACCATCCTCCTTGTCTGGCTGCATCTGCCGGTAGGGGTGGGCCCATGGGGCCAGGTCTTTAAGTCAGGTCCCAGCACCCACCTCTGGGAGACCCTAACCCCAGTGCCTGTTTTCTCAAAGTGTTTGCTGGCTATGGTGGGATACCCATTCTCCTAATGAGAAGACTGAGGCCCGAGGCCTTCCAGGGCCTCAGAGGACTCCATCCAGCTCCTTTGAGACTTTGAAGGGACCCCTGAAGTGCAGAATCAGAAAAAGACAGACGTGCCAGGAGTCTCTCAGGGGAAAGATGGGGCCTCGGGCCTGGCCGTCTCTGAGTGGCCCAGTTACCTCTGAGCAGTTTCTGTCCTTGGCTCACCCCCGCCCGCCCGCCCTCCGCTTTCACCCTCTTCC